TAGAGAGAGAGAGAGAGAGAGAGAGAGGGAGAAACAAAGTGTTGAACATGTGAACAAAACATTTACAGAGCATCAAGCCAACTAGGACAGCTGGTTGCTTACGTAATGTGAAATTAAAACATGCCTTGATGGCGGGCTGTGACCCAAGGCTGACCCCGAGAAGAGGGAATACGACACTGCTAGACCTTATTTTCTCTGGGAAGCCCACAGTGTACGAACGTTGGATACGCAATTGATCGTTTGAACTTTGTCATACGACAACAATTCTGTCATCCAATGGAAGGGCCACGTAACTGCACTATTAATGACTTTGAGAAAATCGACCAAAAACTTTTGACCCTTGATACTGAGATCAGTCACTTGTTTTGCAACTTTGAAAACTACTGTCGTCCATCTTTTAACACAAGAAAGATAAGGGCAAGACTATGCTACCTTAAGGTTACAAAGTTTAATATGGCCGTTTTTGAGTTACTAAAACCTTGAGGTCAGAAATCCAATGTTCTATCTTCTCCTTCAACATCGTAAGATTATTCAGAATCGTTGTCAAAGAATTGCATTCGAAAAAGCTTGACATATGAAACTCCAAATGTTTAAAGTCAGATTTCTCAAAACTAGGTATTGAGCAAATAGAACTATGTAAATCTAGGGTAGCAACTAGCGTAGCAAATAAAAAAAACCCCACATGGTCAATGTGCGGCTCAGTGAAATAAATGGATACGTCGCCATTTTGTCTCTTTAGGTCTTGGGTCCATATTTTTCTAAGCGCTTAAATCGGAAAGAAACCAACGTATGTTCAGATGTCCCTATATTTATAAGTACGTGGTGCCTAAAATGAACAAATGAAAGCAAAATACCCAGGTACATGCAGATGGCAATAACTTGGTCATCTTGCTAGATTTTCAAGACTATGGTAACAAATCAATAAAACAAACAAACAAACAAAAATACCCCAGTGGAAAGGTGCACAAAGTGGAAAGGTGCACAACCCCCCCAAAAAAGAAGCAAAACCAAAAAAGAAACCCCCCCTCCGTTTTGTCAGGTACGTCGCTTTTTCTTGTGAGGGAAAAAATGTTACGTCAGCAGTTCATTACTCCCGGGTTGAGAGATACCTTTCCTTTTTTCCTATAGGCCAAAAGTTAAAATACCTGCCAACATAAGTGGGTGGTTGGCGGGTGCTCTGGTGTGGTTTGCTTCTTCTTTCCTATCAAACATCTATCGTCCTTATCTCCCCTTCTTCTTTTAAATGTTTGTTGCTCTCTTGCAATATCTCTAATTTTCTGGCGCTCACATGACCTTATGCAGTTGCGAGCGCCGTAAAACCTATACTAAAAAAATAAATAAAAAAGGCCAACATAAACGAGTATCGGGAGGGGGAGGGGGAATCTGTCAACCTTATGTTACCGCATACCTGCGACCTTTGACCTCGGTCTAAGCTACCGTATAGTGTGATTTGGAGGTAATGATCATTTCAACTCTGAAAGGTAATGCAAGAGACACTATTTTCCGAATTTAACATTCATCTCCGAAAGGACTGTACAAAAATATAGTAAACCAAGCTTTAAAAATCTACGCAATAGGCCAAGTTCTAGAGCGCCTACGATTGAAAATTTGAACCCGGATCATCCGCACAATATCAAAGCTAACAGCACGCATCTCCTCCGTTAAGAATGAGTCAATATCAGACACAGAAGCAACGAAAGCTATCAGAAGCGCCCTATGTTTTTAGACTTAGGCCATGTCACCTCCACCATCAAAAAAAAAAAAAAAAAAAAAAAAGAAGAAAAAATAATTATGATAGATCTTATCTAGTATTTTTTTTAAATAGAAAAGAAATTTAAATGAATATATAAATAAATGAATGAATAGATAAATTTAAAAAAAGCAATGAAAAACCAACAACAAACAGCATAACTTCTAGCCCATTACTTCTATTGCTTCTTCAGTCGCTGGACGTTGCTTCACGGGCCTTTCTGCAATAGAACACTCTGTCAATTTCCTTTCTGCCAAATTGAGTTATTTTTTGTTTACAACCAACCTACAGTACAGAAAACTAAAAAGGAAAGACAACACTCGACACATGACTCACATAACGAGCAAAAACAAAACTGGAAATGACACATAACAAGCGAAGACAACAATGGGCATCGAATCTCACGTAACAACCTCACAGACCAAGGAAAGACAAAACTGGACTTGCCATGACTCACCAAACAAACAAGAACCAAACTGGACCTCAATGACCCACATAGCTAGCAAAGACAAGTGGAGAAAATATGACTCACATAACAAGAAAAAATGGACATCGCACAAAACGAGCGAACCCCCCCCCCTGGAAATAATCTGACTCACATAGCAAGCATCAGCGCCCCCTTGCGGCAGACCGGCACACAGAGTGCCGTTGTCAATCCTGATGGGCCCCATGAGCGCTGTGACGTTGGGGTTGTAGTAGAAGTCTACACAGTCCGCTTCCGAAACGACGTCCACATCCACTTCGCTGGGGAACTCGGCGCCGTACCCGAACGGTTCTGGACACAGCCACAAGGGGAATTATTTGGTGGAAAGGAAAATTAATGTACACCGGCAGTCTATTTATAGTGTTCATCATTTATAGCGCTCTACTATTTCTAGCGGGAAGTGTCTACGTTCTCTGACGTTAGAGAACGTGCTCAAGCTGTCTACGTTCTCTAATGTTCAGTGCTTCCAATTTTTCGCCAATTTTTAGTTTCCTCAGAACTTATCTGCCGATCCGGTATCCGTCGCCTCATTGATACCCACCCTCCCACAATGTTTCCGACTTTGTCAACTTTCTTCGTTGCAAAAAAACAACAACTACATTTTGATCTATGTAGCGTTGCCTTTCCTGAAACTGCTGTAAATATATTAAGCTTAATCTACCCGTCGCAGTTGGAAGTTCTAATGGCCGAGTGGATAACATGTCTGCGTTTGAATTCATACAATTCTTTTATGAGCGTGGGAACGAATCCCGGTCCCGGAAGTTTTTTTTTTCTTCTCCTGCTCCCGTCTGACCAACAGTTTTTTCCCATAATTATAACTTGTTGCTTTGTAGTTTTTTTAAATGTAGTGACGAAGCATGTACATTCTGGTTTTGTCCCCAAGAGGAGCTTTTACCTACAAAGTATACTTTTCCTTTTACCAATTTAGGCCTGGTTAAAGTTCAATACTAGCTTTCCTTGGTCAGTAAGTCTAATTATTGTTTTTTAGAAATATTTTAAGCTCAGAGAGACCAAATTTTAGTTCTTAAATTGAAAATGTTCTTCAGTTTCTTGGGGCCTCCTGCGACCCACAGATCCCTTCCAATTGTTCCTCCTGCCAATAATTATTAATCGCCCTGGTTGGGGGTCCGGGGCCAATAATTGTTCGTCAGTCGGGAGGAGGAGCGGAGAAAAAAACCCACCTTTCGGGACCGGGATTCGATGTCGCGCTTGGAAGCAACGAATATTAGAGAACGTAGATAACTTGTATACATTCTCTAACGTTAGAGAAAGTAGACACTACCCTTATAGCGCTCACCTATTTATAGCACCCAGCTATTTATAGCGCTCATCTATTTATAGGCGTGAAAATAAGGTTATTCATAGCTGTTAAAAAACGAAAGTTATTAGTTTTAAGAAGTCACTACCCAAAATAAAACAAAAGATGGAGGTTAATAAGAAAAGGAGAAGTTAGATTAACGGGAGAAACTGACCGGACCAGTAAGACAAAAGGCTCAAAAGGCATTGCTTTTATAGATATATATTGAAGCAGTGTGTGAGTGTAAGTGTGTGTTTGTGTGTGTGTGTGTGTGTGTGTGTGTGTGTGTGTGTGTGTGTGTGTGTGTGTGTGTGTGTGTGTGTGTGTGTGTGTGTGTGTGTGTGTGTGTGTGTGTGTGTGTAAATTCTTCAAAAGTGGCCAGAGAATATTTCATAATGTGGTTTTTGAAGCTTTAATTTCAATTAAACATAGTTCGTGATTACCTAAATAGATTAGATAGATAGACAGCCAGCCAGCCAGCCAGCCAGCAAGCCAGCCAGCCAGCCAGCCAGCCAGATAGATAGATAGATAGACAGATAGATAGATAGATAGATAGATAGATAGATAGATAGATAGATAGATATATTATATAGATAGATAGATCGATAGATAGATAGAGAGATAGATAGATAGACAGATAGATAGATGGATAGATAGATAGATAGATAGATAGATAGATAGATAGATAGATAGATAGATAGATAGATAGATAGATAGACTTACCCTCCTGGGTCTGTCCCCAGCCTATCACAGTACAGCTTTGGTTGACCTCGGGGCAGTCAGAATTGAAATTGTAGCCAACAGTAGAAACAGTGTCGTCATCGATCGATGCAGCCGATGACAACTTCAGCAAAGCGATGTCTCCATAGGACTCAGACACTGTTGAAGTACAAGCAAGACATATTGACATATTATGTGAGGTATCGTGGTGAAATCAGGCGCTCGTCAAAATAACAAAATTAAAGAACTGGCTTTTTTTCCACCGGTTTGGCAATTTTTATCCAATTTGTGTTTTCTTGGCTCAAAGCCTTTTATTTCCATTTTAAGTCACACTTCTGTGTGGATTTTCCTGAAATACTTTTGATAAAAAGCACAAAAAGGAACATTTTCAGTTTCCAAAGACCCTCAAGCAAATGAAATTACCAAAGTTTGGCTGCCAATCCCTTGCTCATTTTACTTCTGAAACCAAGCAACCTCCTCTTCTTTCAATCGCAAATATCTCGACTTCTGGTCAAGATACATGACAATTTTTTTGCTTCGTAAGCAAGACAGAAGAGCAAGTTTTATGATATCAATAACTACATATGCCTGAAAACTGACGAGCGTCTGATATTCCACCACGTGGTAATACATATTAACAAATAGGATCTGACTTAATGAGTGAATAGCCGAAATAGCAATCGAAAGCAAAACATGAGAGGAATGTAAAAAAAAACAAAGTCCAAAAGTACGAGGGCATAATATACATCATTATGCAACCTGTGAACAAATCAGTATCGGGAGTACAAAATATTACTTTTGGGCGCCGTATAACCTAAGAAATGGTTTATGACTAGTTATGGATCTATAACATGTACCTCTGTATGTGTTTTCAATACATGCACACACACACTCACACACACACACACTCACACACACACACACACACACACACACACACACACACACACACACACACAC